ATCTGGAGCACAAAGAAGAGCGACTATGATCTGGGAGTTGATGGGTAGGGAAAACTTGGTGGAGGAGGGACTTCCTGATCTGAGAATTAAAGGCTATGGAAGAACATGCTGGGCAAAGAAGGAAGAAAGGAAGACCATCCCAGGTGGAAGGAGTGGCATGGGGGAGTGTGGTACATTCAGAAAGCTGCGGATATGGCTGCAAATGTGACCGGAACATAAACTGTGTACTTGCAGCGCGTAATTTGATTATTGGGAGCACTTACCTAACTCTAAGAAGACAGTGTTACTGCCCAGTGGTGGACAGCTCTGGAAGCAAACTTGGTCTGAAAGCTGCTTTGATCCTTTACTAATCTGTTAGGTCTAATTAAGAACGTCACCTTCGTAGACTTTTAAGTTCAGTGTGGTGATCAAAGTACCTACTTCAAGGGGTTGTTGCAACGAGTATTTGAAATAATGTTTGCAAATCTCCTGGTATTTAATACGCACATGCTAAACATTAGCAGCAGTTTTTGTTGCTGTCCTGAAAGTTCTTAGAGGCACTTTTCCCCTGTCAGTATTTTTTTTTTTATTTTTTTAATGTTTTTGTGTTTATTTTTGGGAGAGAGAGAACATGAACAGGGGAGGGTCAGAGAGGGAGAGGGAGACACAGAATCTGAAGCAGGCTCTAGTCTCTGAGCTGTCAGCACAGAGCCCAACTTGGGGCTCGAACTCCGGGACCACAAGATCATGACCTGAGCCAAAGTTGGACGCTTAACTGACTGAGCCACCCAGACGCACCATCCCCCGCCCCGTCAGTATTTTATAATCTACTTTCTAGGCCAGCAGTTTAGTAATATTTTAAACACCAACTTTTGTTTGTTATAATGGAATCAGAATTTGAATGAATTAAAAAAATTTTTCTTTAACATTTATTTTTGAGAGAAGAGAGCATGAGCCGGGGAGGGGTAGGGAGGAGGGAAACACAGAGTCTGAAGCAGGCTCCAGGCTCCAAGCTGTCAGCACAGAACCCGACGCGGGGTTTGAACCCATGAACCATGAGATCGTGGCCTAAGTCAAAGTCTGACCCGTAACCGACTGAGCCACCCAGGTGCCCCAAATTTGAGTGAATTTTAAAAGATGGTCTAGCCTGATTTTATCATTTTGTATGTGAAGAAACTGAGTTGCATTTAATAACCTGGCTGTGGTAAATCAGTGATACAGCTGGGACCAGAATCAGGTCTCTTCCTGTTCCGGAGGTCTTTCTACTTGCCTTGGAATAAATGTCAAAAGTCACTCAGTGACACGATTTCTAGCAGAAACCACATAAGGTAGCAGCACGGAAATCGGCTTTGCTGGAGCTTTGCAGATACGGAAATTTTAGTTCTTAACGAAATACACTCTCCTCCTCTGGCCGCCCTCTGGTGGAAGTGCTGTGTAGCAACAGCATATGTGAAAGCAATTGAGAGGCAGGTGACAAGGAACCAGATAATTCTTAAATGTGTAACTACAGACACTTTTTATTTGGGTCTCTTCACTAAAATGTGAAAATAGATTTTCATAGTATCTGTCAATTAAGCATGTTCTAATTCATGTATTCTAGAGGATCCAACAGATAATTTGTTGAACATCTTTTGTGTACTAAATGCTAGGAATAGAATGATGAGCAAAAAAATGTGTGCTTTAGTGAAATAAACAGATGTTGAAATAATAATCATACAAATAAATAATTACAGTTAATGCTATGCCTAAAAAGTACCGAGTGATTTATGACCAATAGCAGTGTTTGGGAAGGCTCCCTTGAGGAATTAAGGTTTTAACTGAGATTGGAAGTCTTGGTAAAGTAAATAGACAAAGATGAGTCAGCGATGGAGAAAAGAGTCTCTATATTGAGGAAACAGCAGGTGCAAAGGCCCTGAGGAAGGACATCGTATGACCTCTCCTAAGAATTGAAAGGCAACTAGTATATTTGGAGCAGAGAAAGCTAATATAAAATACAAGTCCTGGTCATGAAAAGTGAAGGTATTTACTAGGCATCACCAAAGAAACCAAAAAGCGCAAGAAGTGAGCTTCCTCCCAAAGTAAACTGTGTGCTCTTTGTTAGAATTTTGTTGTTTTAAAGATTCATTGTAAAAGAAATGACTTTAGAACCACTAGAATATTCTGTTTACAGAGTAGAGTGACATTAGGATTTGGGCACTTTAAATATGTATTTTTTTTTCATTAGATTTTTCTTCCTTTCTATCCTGGCTCATTGGGAATTGAAGGAATATTTTGATATGCTGGAGTGTTGAGATCAGGGACTTCTGTTGTTGATCAGTTGAACAGCCATGGAAATGACAGAGAGAATCTTCTCCTGTTTTCTTGGCTGAGATTTTTGTGTGGGTGTACGAGGTGCAGCTGCATGTTGGTTTCTTGGCAATCAAGACAAGTAATTCTCAGTGCAGTTCATGTTGAATGGGAAGCAACTTAAGAGAAAAAAGGCTATTTCGAATTTATTAAATTCATTGGAAAGCACCGAGGGCCTGAACCTTTAGCTGGTATTCTAAGTTATTTGGCTAAATGGATACAGCAGCCTCAGGCATGTGTCCAAGCTTATGCCAGGAACACATGAAGGAGAGAAAAATTTTTAAATAGTCCAAGTTTTGTCTCAGTATAAAATAATCAATTACCATATGTAGGTTTTAAATGAATTTTTGCTAGCTGCTTTCTTGTTGTGACTTATTGAAGCTTTTTCTCTAAAGAACACTTAATGAAAAAGGCAGATTGTGAAAATTTAGCTTTGCTTGCAGAAGTGAATTCCTAATTTTCTGTAGTTTATCAGGAAGGTATTTCTCAGATTTATGCATACACAGATGGATTCCCAGATCTGCTTTTATTTTATTTTTTTTAATTTTTTAATGTTTATTTATTTTTGAGAGAGAGAGCATGAGCACAAGCAGGGGAGGGGCAAAGAGAGAGAAGGAGACACAGTTTGAAGCAGGCTCCATCCAGGCTCTGAGCTGTCAGCACAGAGCCTGATGTGGGGCTCAAACCCACGAGCTGTGAGATCGTGACCCGAGCTTAACCGACTGAGCCCCCGAGGTGCTCACTCATGTTCTTCACTATCCTCTGACCTTTCTGTGGTCTATAAGCACTTTGTGTTCCCCAAACCTCAAACTAAATGCAGACAATCTGGAGCTCTTAATTTTTTAAGGACACTTGCATCCTTCCCTTTGGATACTCTCATCATTGTCCTTCATATTCTTCAAGCAGAAATGTCTGAATTGCTTCCAGTCTTTAACTGCTTGTTTACATCTCTACTGCTATTTAATATTATTGCTCTCAGAATAGCATAGAGTCAGGTCCTACAGTCAGTTGGCCTGGGTTCAAATCCAGTCCTGCTACTATCTATCTTGGTCCCATTAACCTTTTAGTTTCTCATCTCCATAAATGAAAATAATTATGTTAGTGTTTCATAAGTTTTGTGTGTTTTTAAATAAGGCTTAAAGGAAAAAATGTGAATATAAAGGGCTTAATTCAAAATAAGTGTCCAGGAGAAAAGATGTTAGCTATCATTTTCTTCATGATTTAGGGCCAGTCTCCTGGAGTCCATTAATAGCTGTGTTCAGTGTCCTGGGTGATCTCATTCGGTCTAAAGACCATCCAAATGCTGAAGACTCTCAATTTTTATATCTCTGTTTCTAATCGCACTCTTCCCTAAGCTCCAGACTTGTATATATGACTGCTACTATGTGTCCGCACTTAAATATCTAATATATCCTTCAAATATAACATGTCTAAAAACAGAACTTTTGATCTCTGTCACCTGCCTTGCTTGTCTTCCCAGTCTGTTCCTCCCATTCTTTAATATTGCAGTTGATGGTACTATCCTCTCTACTTTTTTTTGTTTTGTTTTTGTTTGTTTTTTACTTTCCTGTAGCTACCAGCCCCCATCTATTTCATGAACACATCTAACAGCATTCTCCCCACAATATATCCTAAACCTGACCACTTGTCACCATATCCTCTACTGACACCATAGTCCAAGAGTGATATAGCCTCTTGTATGGACTGCTGTATAAAGGAATGTTCTCCTTACTGCTCTGGGCTTTCAGTCTTGTCTCCTACACAATCTACAATCCATTATCCGCATTGAAGAGTAAATACAGATTTAAAAACATTGATTATTTACCCTCCCCACCCCCCCCACTTCTTACTGAAATTAGAAAAATATCCAGAATTTTTTAAAGTCTTCTATGACCTGGCCCCTCTGCTTTCTCTTTCTTTTTCTCAAATACAGGTTGTTCATTCCTTTAGTAAGGCCTTTATACTGCTAGCTTTTCCATCTGTTTGAGATATTTTTCTCCCGGATGATCACAGTGTTGGCTCCTTGCAAAGTTTTAGGTTTCAGTTCGGATAATAGTTCCTCAGAGGCTGATCCTGACATCTTTCTCCTTTCTTTCTTAATAGCTGATCACTGTCTGAAATTTTCTTCACTTTTCTTCCTCCTCTTGTAAATTGCCCCCCCCCCATCCCATGAGGGCAAGGATTTTCTGCATTTGCTTATTACCATATTCCATTGCATTAGAATGGAACCTGATATTCACAAGCTTTACAGTATTCTGTGGATGGATGACTAAATGAAAGAAAGAATGAATGAATAGATACATGTCTTGTAAGTTTTTCTACAACCAGGGAAATGATGGATTATTTCCTCCTATATGAATTTTGCATAGATGCTTATTTTAGAATTAAGCACGCTAATATTTTATTCTTTTTCTTTCATGCTTTCTCTGTTATAGATTATAAACTTAAGTATAGGAAGTATGTCTCCGCTGTTTTCAGCTTCTCATAGAATGCCAGATATCATTTAAGTACTTTGTGTTGATTGAATTGAAAATTCAATCTAACATCCTCTGAAGTTTTAGTAATTTTATATACATGTGTATATATGTGTATATAAATATATATGTGTAAATTATGTAAAGTTTCCAAGCTGATAATTAGGTTTAAAATATGCCTTCCCCTTTTATCTCTTGCAGTTCATAATTGGACCCTTGAAGACACGCTTCAGTGGTTGATAGAATTTGTTGAACTACCCCAATATGAGAAGAATTTTAGAGACAATAATGTCAAAGGAACAACGCTTCCCAGGTGAGTCTTTATTATCCAAATGTATTTTTTTTTCACTCAAGGAGAATTATATACTAGATGTTACTTTTCTGTGCCAAATTTATAAGTTATCTCTGTGACTAAGGGCTCAAGGGAAATATCATATCCATTCTTTAATTTTTTAAGGTGTGAATTTGTAAGTTTTAATCATTTTTCTTTGTCTGAATAATCAAGCTCTTTTTAAAATTTATTCCCAAAAAAAGTAATTTTTGGAATTAGAAGGTAGGCCAACTACATCTTTGTTAGATAACATCAAAAGCCCAACCTCTGACCATGTGGTAAATATAACAAAAACATATTCATTTGATATGAATCCACCTTTATGAAAAACCTATTTGAGTGGGTTAATGTACAGATCTTTCTTAATTGTATTCTTTATAATAATAGTCACTTAATATTGGTGGCCACAAGTTAAAGCTCAAAAAAAAGCTTAATAAACAAAATGTAAATAATAGCCATTTTTTATTTATTTTGAGAGAGAGAGCACACGCCTCTGATCCTAAGGAGGTGACAGAGAGAGAGAGAGAGAGAGAGAGAGAGAGAGAGGGAATCCCAAGCAGGCTCCAGTGCTCTCAGTAAGGAGCCCAATGCAGAGCTTGAACTCACGAACTGTGAGATCATGATCTGAGCCGAAATCAAGAGTTGGACGCTTAAGTGACTGAGTCACCCATGTATCCCTAATAGCAACCATTTTAAAATGTATATAACATAAAGGTACTCTGTATTATGTCATTTAAACTTCATGGTTAAAATTAAGTATGTATTGTTATCCCCATTTTGCAGATAAAAAGCAAATCAGAGAAAAGTCAAATGTTTTGCCCAATTCAGCACTTGAACCTAGATAGATCTGATACCATATTTTGCCCAATTCAGCACTTGAACCTAGATAGATCTGATACCAAAGTCTAGGATTCCAGTTTATCCCTTAGATGCCTGGAATTATTCGTTTTCTAAATTTTACTTTCTAAATCTCCATTAGTTAACTTAAAAATCTTTAAAGACTCAAATGTCAAAATTTGCAACGATTCTACCAGAACTTGCTTGTGTTCCATTCCTCTCTCAAATGTTTCTTGAATCAAAAAAGACTAATCCCTTATTATCTCATTATTATTTGTGATGAAATATGCATATTGTATTTCTAATCGATTTGCTTACATACTCTATTGAAATAAGTGGCTGTTGTTTCTTTGGACTTCAGATTTTGGATTGAGTTGAAAATTTTCGTATCTCCCGTAAATATATTTTGAACATCAACATCAGTATTTTACTGGTTTTGCTGTGCATATGGTTATATTGAGGAAATAATGGGAATAAGAGTCAGTTCAACAAGTCTGTATTGAGTATCTGGTGTGTTCAAGGTGCAACTAGATGGTGGAAAGAAGACAAAATGAAGATAGGGTTTTTGCTTTTAAATAAGTTTCTAAGCTAAAATTTAGGATTAGGGTTTAGGGATTAGGGTTGTTTTGTTTTTGTTTTTGTTTTGAGTTGTATGTTACCCTAGTTATGAGGAACTCCTAGTATTTTTCTTATGTCGTCTTTTGGGAAGTTTCTTTGTACGACAGCAGCATGAAATGAAATAGGTTGCTCAGTGTGTTGGCAATAAATGTTATAGCCACTTTTTTTCCTTTGGTTAAGTAAGGGGTACCAGAGATAGCTCAGCTTCTTGGAGAATTGTCGAAGTAACATCACACTTCATCAAGATCAATTTTTTTTTTTTTTTTTTTAATAGTGAACATGTTACCAGAAAAGACAGGTTATAAATACAGAAGTTCAGCTTTCAGGTGAGCTCACGGGAGCTTCTGTGAGCGGAGAAGAAAGGGAAACCAGAATACCCATCATCAAGCCCCTTTCATAGGGGTAATGGCAATTAGAGGACTCGCTTAAAGGGACTTAAGTATCAATTAACTTAAATAGCAATATGAGTTACGGGACTTTTTGTAGGGTAATTGTAGGTACAAGAGCTACTTAGAAGAATGTGTAAGAAAATGTATTACACATTCCAGATGGACAGGTACCTAACAGCAGTTCATTGTTTCCTTTCTGTGACATTAAAATACTGTCGCATTGCAATAGGTAGCCCAAATTATGTTAGTTTTATGTTATCACGGTTATAATAAGCCTTTTACTGATTTTCTATAGTCTGAAATTCTTATTACCAGAGCTTAAACTAAGGCTCTCTTCGCCTGACGCATGCCTCCTCATTCCTTTCAGACCTGTGTGAACTCCCCTGACATCCTCACCCACTCAGGTAGAACCACTTCCACCTCCCGGGCTCATACTGAACCTTGTATAAAACTGTTATGTGGTATCCTTTTTACTACATCTCGTTGTTTCTCTTCAGTTTAGTCTACCAGTATTGTTGCTGTTAATTCATTCATGCATCCATCCATGCATTCACTCATGTATTCTACAAACATTTATCAAGCATCTACTTTTGCCAAGCATAATGCTAGGTTTGGGGATACTGAGATAAGACATAGCTCTGCCTTCCAGCAGTTTGGGAAGTGTCACGTTAAAGGTGTAACAGGAGCCATACACAAAAGGTACTTGCAGAGAAGATGAAGGAAGGCATTTTGCAAAGGGAAAGAGTTCTTTACACTGTAAAGATTTATGGAAGCCTGTAGCAGTTATAGGAGTTTTTGTAACTTCTGCACACTCACACGTTCTGGTATCTTTCATAATAAAATGCAGTGGATTCAGAGTACAGTCATTGAAATCATACATATTTGGGTTTGAATCCCTGCCTCACCTCTTGCTACTAATTGGGCAAGTTACTCAATCTCTCCCTACCTTAGTTTCCTCATCTGTGAAATGGGAATTTTGTATCTATTTGAGGTGTTCTTCAATTTTGATTTAGCCTTTGACCCAGGACCGGGCATATAGTACATGCTTGTTTTTATCGTCATTGTTATTAACTATTATATGATTATTATTGGACTTTGTGTTATAAGATCTTCATTGGTGTCATACTTGGTTGTTAAGAAATGTTAGTTGATGATGGGGCAACTTGGATTTGCCGTCCAAAACAAAGTGATTTTATTTCCTTCTTTCACCTGTGCCTTTTGGCCCCCTATATGTTTTTTTTTTCATTGGTAATGAAATGGTTCAGTATTTCCTATTACATAAATGTCTGTTTTCTCCCCCCAACCATGATGACTTCTTATTCTCACTTATGACTTCCCTGGACTCTGTTTAATTTATAAATAGTTTACATATTAGAATGTAAAGGTACAGGTTTTTCAGACACTTTTAAAGAAAAGTGATACGATCTAGATTAAAAAGTATATTTTATAGTTTGCTACTGAAGTTAAGTCAATTACCTAACAATTTTCTTGTTCTCTGTGAAATGATAATAAAATGCAGAGGTAATTAAATGGTTATAAAATGCTTTTGCATTAGTTAAATTTCTGCATTCAAGTAAATTGTAGCATAAAGTTAACCTTAGAAAACAAAAACGTCAACATAACAAGTAAATAATTAATGCAGGGTGTCTGTACAGCTAAGTTTGCACCGAGAAGTTTTTTGACACATATTAGTAAAGTATTAAATCACATGGATGAGCTCTTAACAGAAGTAGGTCGTCACTAATGTGTAAAGTATTACATGTATTGCTCAAGTATTTAAATTTACATACTAGAAATATTTTCATTTAATATGTATATATTTTTTGAATGAACAGGATAGCAGTGCATGAACCTTCATTTATGAGCTCCCAGTTGAAAATCAGCGATCGGAGTCACAGACAAAAACTTCAGCTCAAGGCGCTGGATGTGGTTTTGTTTGGACCTCTAACACGTTAGTATTCTCTCTCACAGAGTATGATGCAAAAGAATAATCAGATCACATATTTGTCATTTATTTTTTTTAATTTATTTTTGAGAGAGAGAGAGAATGAGAATGAGTGGGGGAGGGGCGGAGAGGGAGACAGGATCGGAAGCATTCTCTGCGCTGACTGCAGGGCTCGTACTCCCTAACCTCAAGATCATGACCTGAGCCAAAGTCCGACACTTAACTGACTGAGCCACCCAGGCACCCCTGTTATTTAAAGAAGAAAAAGTAAGAAAGATAAAACACTAAGAAAATCGTCTATTAGGTATAAAGGAAATGTAATATCATCTTAAAAGATTTATAGGGTGAGATTTTCTGTCATTGAAATGTGGAATGTCACATTGCCAAGCTGGTTCCTGAAGATCCGCTTGAAATTTTCCATGATAACAGACCATCCTGGCAAAGCACAAGATGGAGAATGTTATTTGATTGTATTGAAGAAGAACATTTAAGAAATTATTATGTCATACTTGTAAGGAAAATAAACCTTGTATTTCTTTACTTTTGACAGGAATACTTTTTTTTTTTTTTTTCCAGAAGGGAAGTTTAATATGTTTATTTAATTTCAAGTTTTAAAAAGCTTTGGGGAAAAGTATTTGAATATTCTACATTTTTAGAGGTTTTATATTCTATTTTTCAGAAGCCAAAAAGGAATAACAATTAATACAAGAAAAATGGCTTCCAGAAATGATAATTAGGAAACTAATATTTATTTTACCTCAGTTTTCGGAGTTAGGAGACTTGCAGGTTTCTGTGATCGGTTTGGGGGGTGACACTACCAAAAAAGGGTTACTGGAGCCGTTGGGTAGATTCCATGATGGGACTGGTGGTTCTTTTTTGGCTCAGGCTGAGAGCAGCTGGTCAAACAGCTGGAACTCTGCTTTGTGAGAGTTGGTGGAAATGCGCTGTTGTTGGAAATTACAAACCCTAGGAAATAGAACACTCCTGAAATGCCGGGCATTCCACAGAGGTGACACCCTAAGTTTTCTGCTGTATCTGTTGGGGATTGTCTTCTGTGAGATTCTGTCTGATTTGTTCATGTGAATGGTGCAAATAGGAATGAAACTATATAACTTGCCTCTGTATACAACTTGGTCAGGAATATTTATATTTTATTAAGCCAGGAACAAACTCCCTCTAAGCCAAAACAGTATTTGATGTCATTTGAAAAGAAACCAAACTAGTCAAAAGAATGCTGAAAACAAATGTTTTAATAAACCGGCGAAGAAGTTAATGATGCGTTACCTTTTTAATGTGTTTGTCTTAGAATTATTATTTGAGGGAATGAGCCCTGCAGTGGGAACACCAGCATTAGATTTATAACAAACTAACACTGTCAAACGAACAGACACACATTGTAAAGGAGTTTTCGCTGAAATCTTTTTCAGTTTGTGGCGCTTACTATAGAGTTTGGTACTTGACCATTCTCTTTATTGTTATTTCTGGTGAGTAATATTTTGGCCTGAACTGGGCTCATGTTTAAACTAGAACTTGAGCTGAACTTCTCAGTCTGAGGCGGAAGTAAAAATAAATCCTTTTGAGACTTTGGTCTTCCGCAGTGCATCTGTTTCACTGGAGGTGAGGGTGTGAGCTCTGGAAATAGGGTGTCTGGCATAGGGCTTGGCATTCCTCACACGGTGTAAACACACACGAACCTGAGTGAGCACGAGAAGTCCTGATGTCTACGGAGCCCCGTGTTTCATCACACATACAACATAGACGTGCTGGAGGCCTGGGCAGTTCGGTAGTTTTTCCGCTGTAAACTCTATCTCTTGGGAGCAAATCATGCATTACATTGTCTTCGTTATCATTGTGTATCACTCCAGAGAGCCCTCTGAATCTTAGTGTGTGTTAAGAGTCAGGGATAGACTAGGAAGTTATTTGACTAGTGACTTCTGTGTTTTGTATCACTGAGAACAGTAGGCCCTGGCTCCTTACTCCTTACTGTAGAAACTGCTGGAAATTACTGACATGCCTAGTGGTGGAGAAGGTGATCCTGTTCTTTCCTGCTAGTAACCCAGAAATCTCTGGCAAATAGCACCTAAAATATGACTTGTTATGATCATTTAACTCATGGTTACTCAACCTTGGCACCTCATGATTTGGGCTGGATGATTCCTGGGTAATTCTCTGTCACTGGCAGAAGCAGGGCAGGAAAGTGTCTTGTGCGTTTTTGTCTGTTTAGCAACATCCCTGGCCTCTTCCCACTAGACACCAGTAGCAACTCCCCCACCCATTTTACACCCTCCCTGCTGTGGCAAGCAAAAATTGTCAAATGTCCACTGTGGGAGATACCGCCCTTGGTTGAGAATCACTGACTAATCTTCATTACATGACTGCTTGCTTGGAGGGGGAAATGCTCTTTTGTTGAATGAGTAGGCTTCCAGTGTGTGTATCAAAGCATGACATGTCCCTAACCTGACTGAAGGAAAGCAGTTGGGATGATAGTGGTGGTATTCTTTATGCCTGCTTTCACCCCACAGAGGACATGATTGGAGATACTCTTGCCTTTTCAGGGTCCCCAGAACTTTTGTTACTGCCTCCTGTGCCACAGGGGTGTGGTACATCCATGTGGGCTTATCTGTGCCCTCTGGAGGGTCTAGTGTATCAGTGTTACGATAAGCACTTTGATTGTTTGAAGAAATAGTTTTTAAAAGAATGGAGCTTGTTTATGGGCGGCTCATCAAAAAACATTTGCTTGTTTTAGCTACCTACTACAAAATGCCTCTGTATGAAGATTCTGTTACACTCAAAGATTAATTTGACCATCTGCATTTTTTTTCATAGGCCCGCCTCATAACTGGATGAAGGATTTTATTCTCACAGTTTCTATAGTAATTGGTGTTGGGGGGTGCTGGTTTGCTTACACACAGAATAAGACATCAAAAGAACATGTCGCAAAAATGATGAAAGACTTGGAGAGTTTACAAACCGCAGAGCAAAGTCTCATGGACTTACAAGAGAGGTACGTTTAAAAAGCTATAAGTCTTCTTATTTATGTTGGCAAATACAATTTGTGAAAATGTAATGTGGGTGTGTGCTTACACACTTATGTTTAGTTTGTTACACATATCAGTAATGTATGTACACTTCATATTTTTATAAAACTTACAGTGTCCTAATTATAGATTTATATTAAAGGTATGCTCTAGTGAATAAATGGGCAGATCAGTAGAAATAAATATAGGTGGAGTGATATGTATAGTGAAATTTTATTTTTAATGTTTTATTTTTTTTAATGTTTTTATTTATATTTGAGAGAGAGACAGAGAGTGAGTGGGGAGGGGCAGAGAGAGAGAGAGAGAGAGAGAGACACAGAATCCGAAGCAGGCTCCAGACTCTGTGCTGTCAGCACAGAGCCCAACCCAGGGCTAGATCTCATGAGCCATGAGATCATGACCTGAGCCAAAGTCAGATGCCCAACTCACTGAGCCACCCAGGCGCCCCTAGTGAAATTTTATTTTTAACATGATTTAGATAATGATGAATTTCTTAGAAGTCTCTTTGCTTGAAGAGTGATTCCCTGCTATCACTGTATTTTGAGCTCAAGATAACCAAACAACTATACCATGGGCCACCTGCTGTTTTGCTATTCAGATGTAAGATTAATAGAAAATAGTGTGATTTTGGATTGAAACATGTATTTTGTTGCTTGATGTGTAGTTATTCTTCATAAAAAAGATGAAACTTTGGTGAGGAATTTTTACTTTTATCATTCTGTAAGGCTTGAAAAGGCACAGGAAGAAAACAGAAACGTTGCTGTAGAAAAGCAAAATCTAGAGCGCAAAATGATGGATGAAATCAATTACGCAAAGGAAGAGGCCTGTCGGCTGAGAGAGCTAAGGGAAGGAGCCGAGTGTGAGCTGAGTAGAAGGCAGTATGCAGAGCAGGAACTGGAACAGGTATTGACATTCCACAAAAAGTGTTTGTTAGGACGTTTGCGTTGCCACTCTGGGGGGGCTTTTCCTGTTTGTTCTTCTACGTTTAGTGGCATTGTATATTCTTCCTTAGTTAATAAAAGAATTCTCTGTTTATATTGTTAGCATTGATCAAAGTCCATGTAGCAAATAACAAAGTAATAATTCAAAGATAAAGTTACCATCATGTTCACTCACTCATGAAATCTTACCCTGTGCCAAGTTAATTATCTCCAGTGAATTTAAGGTGTTTATTTAATCTAACATCCGTAATATGTTTTAGTATCTAACTGTAACCTAGTAAAGTATATCTAATGTTAAACTTCTCTGCAAGGGTAAAGCATCTCTATTTAACATCCATTTGAATCCTGTTAAATGGTTTTAGAACATAATTTGCTAAAAATTGTGAAGTTGTCTAAAGAGATCTTTCCAGTATCCACCGCTACCTTGCTAGTCAAGATGGAACGTGAGCCTGAAGGCATAGCTCGCTCCTTCAGGGAAGCGGAGAGGGGGTCCCGGCAGAAGTTAATTACAGACAGATATTTTAGTTTACTTACTGTTCTTGCTATAAAAAATTACCACAAACTTAGTGGCTTAAAACAACACACATTTGCTATCTTACAGTTCCTAAGACAGAGTTTAAAATAGACTCCCAGGGCTGCATTCCTCTGGAGGCTCTAGGGGAGGATCTGTTTCCTTGCCTTTTCCAGCTTCTGGAGGCTGCCTGCATTTCTTGGCTCTTGGCCCCCTCCTTCATCTTCAAAACATGTCACTCCAACCTCTGCTTCTGTGGTCTCCTCTCCTCCTTCTGACTTTGACCCTTTCTTTACTGATAAAGAAGCTGCCGGCGAGAAGGCTTGCCCAAGATCAGAGAGTGCCTCGGTTGTAAAGCAGGGCCAAGGACCTGGGTGTTCTGCCCCCTGCTCTGCCGTGTGCCCTGTGGCCTTCTCGGCCAGGTGCTAAATAAGGAATAAGAATTGTGTGATGAATGAGTTTCACTTTCAACTCATGAGAAAATAAATGTTCAGTGTGCATTTGTTTCCTTCAGGATTGTCATTTTTGGTAGAATTTGTCTGACTAAATGCAGCCATCTCTTTTATTAATGGTTAGCTATTGTTTCCCTCATACCCCAGACATCTGTTTGTTGGATCTTTTCCCTGTAAGGAGATTGTTCTCTTAAGCTGACTCCTACGTGTATTGTATGGTCAGGTCCTATTTACCTGGCAAACCTCATCTGTACAGAATGTAGTAAAGGACAAGGGAGTTAACAGAAAAGAAAAGAAAAAACGGCTTAGCCAAAATTCTACTGTGTTCAAAAGTTGGATATTATGCCTTTTATTCCTGTGAGAACTTATTTCCTTTTCCCACCAAGGCTTCTAACTCTTGGTTTATTCCTAGTACTAAGCTAAAAAGCTTGCTAGCTATTTTTCTGAGCTTTATAGGTAAGAAAGAGCAAATCAGAAAGCAGTAGTGATAATTCTTCTATGGAAACATAAACTGATAGCAGTATTTTACAGGTGACTGCAGAGCAGGCATCCTATAGAAAAGGACCCACAAATCACAAACATTCTAATTTGAGTTTTTTGGCAGAGAGGCATTGCATATGTCAGTAGACCTTAGGATCACCACGATATGTCCCGGTACAGATTTAATAGTCCTAATGGGATCCTGAATCAGTAAGGGGTGGTTTAAAGGAGTTACACTGGTATTTAAAAAGAACTCTGTCCAACATGATTATAGTAATAAGAAACACAATTTTAAGAGTGCTTACTGTGTGCCAGAAGTTTGTGCTGTGCACATTGCAAATGATTTGCTCAGAAGTTTTAATCCTCACAATAAATAGATATTATCCTCATTTACAGATGAGATGTGCAGAGAGGTTAAATAACTTGCCTGAAGTCACACAGCTGTTACATGGCAAAGGCAAGATTTTGTGTGTCTTATTCCAAGGTTCATGTTTTCCTATACTGTTAAAAGTTTTGTTTATAGAAGTAAATTTAACTGGGAAGCTAATTTACGTATAATGTCCTGTAATCCACAGCTTCACATAGTTGGAAATATTACTGTAGCTCATCTGGGAGATAATCAGCTTCTCAAAATTAGAAGTCAGGAATATCTGGCACATACAGTGCATCGTGCTGTTTCCCCTAAAACAAAAACTTCTGGGTGAATAATAGTACTGCTTCATGTTTTGTGTGGTTTAAATACTTTTCACATAAATTACTTTGTATTTGAAGTTTCAAGAAAAGCAAAGTCAGGATGAGTCGTAGTATACCCCTGTTCTACACAAGACAATAAACCTCAGGTTAGAAAGTAAAGAACTTGCAGGTCACAGAAGTCATAATCATAGAGTTGGGTCTAGAATCATGTTTTCAGATATATAGGGTGTTTCTTTCTGTGATACCATGTTTTTTTTTTACTTAGTACTGGTCTATTCCTGAGACACAAAAATTAGGTATATAATTATCATTTTTGTAAACAACTTAATAATTCATCATTTGTTAAAAGCTTTTAATTACTCAATTTTTACTGGGTCCATGCCCCTATGAATAACCATGTAATTCGAACTAAAGGCTGGAATTTACGTCAAATGATAAACTTAATGAATAATAGCAGAGAAAATAGTTAAAATAGTTGCTGTTACTGGAAGGTCGTGATTTCCAAAATTTTGAAACATTATTTGACAGTCAGTCGAAGCATTTCAGCCTCAGTTAATGCTAGAAATATAACCATTATATGTTACATGCATTTATTGAGTTCTTTTAGGGGAAATGAATGTATGGACATAACATAAGTCTTTATGATTAAAGAGAAAAACTTGAGTGAAATTTGAAAATAGGTTCCCTGCTTAGTTCCTTGGCAGTGAAAATCGTGTAGAAACTGTAGACGATTTACAAGTGTAAATCTTGTGAGAAAGAGGGCCTGCTGACCCAGACTTGGTGGTGGTGTATGGAGCTCCACGTTCCGGGACCTGGCCTCAAACTCTGTCTTCCTGAGGGAGAAGGTTGCCACACAGCTTAGCCAGCCAGTGGAAGCCAGTACTGTCCACGCTCATGGCACGGTGAAATGTGTCGGGCACGTGTTGCTTAGGATTTTGCTTTCAGTGAGTAATGTCTCACTTTTAGTGTCCCTACTTCTGATTGTCTACTTGGTGCCCCATTGTGCTTTTGTTTTCTAATTTTGGAGTTTTGAAAAAATACTTCTTTTTATACTTTGCTTTCTATAGTACCTGACAGCTGTTCCTTTTCTTTATCAGAACAAACTTGTGTACAGTACTCTTATTAGTTTATTCTGGCACACAGTAAAGTTTATTTAAGTAAGTTGGGTTTGTTCAGATCAGACGTTGTTCTGCACATGAGTTTCGGAGTGGAGTTTCTAGTGACCTTACTTGGCTTTGAGGAAGATAATTTGCAGTTACGGTGCTCCAGAAGTGGGATGCTCCCCAGTTCATTTGTGACTTTGTCTCAAGGTCTTGAGTAGGTACATAACTCTTTATATTCTATTGTGTGTCTTTACATACCTTTAGCTTGAACTCTTGCTAGTTTTCAAATGAATCATTTCTAGAATGAATTGTCTTTTCTTTCTGTGTTCTTTTCATAGGCTTTAAGAGTTTTTTCCTTAGCATCTAATACCAACTGATGCACTAAGCATTTTAGTTTTCTAACTGGTTATTGTCTGGCTCTCCTAAAGGGCAGTCAAAGGAAGACTTTGACATCCTGACCCTGAAGCCTAGGTATAGTTTCTCATGGAAACATCAAGCAGAGGCTCACTCAGAACCTATTTTCTTAAAATTTACACATGGTCTGCCAATGCTGATTTATCTACTTTCTGGTATGTTAGAAGCAGTGAATTGAGTAGAAGTAGGTGAAACAGACCGTAATGGACAGACGTGCTTGTAATAGTGAGAAATAAGTAACCATAAAGAAGATGTGAAAACCTTCAAAAATGGTCCATGTAAATAGCTTACAGTAGTGCCCTCTGGGAACATTAGAAGGGGCACCAGGACAGTGTTTTCACTGTGTTTCGGATACTTCTTTATGTTCTCCACAAACAAGCCCCGCGTTATGAGAAAAACATGATCAGTTTTGGTTTGTACGTGCCTGGCATTTTCTTCTCTCTGGGGAGTCTGGCTATTATATAAAAACTAAATAAATAATACAGCTTAAGATCTATGTAAACCCCTTCTACCCTTTGGCTTTCCAGCTTTGCTTAGAGTGTTAAGATGCACTTAAAACTTCAGTTTTAGTTTAAAAAAATTTTTTTTAACATTTATTTATTTTGAGAGACAGAGAGAGGCAGAGCATGAGCGGGGGGGGAGAGAGATACAGAATCTGAAGCAGGCTCCAGGCTCTGAGGTGTCAGCACAGAGCCTGATCCAGGGCTCGAACCCACAGACCGTGAGATCATGACCTGAGCTGAAGTCAGACGCTCAACTGACTGAGCCACCCATGCGCCCCGGTTCAGCTTTAGTTTTAATGTTAGAAATACATTGTTTTAAACTCAGTGATTTGAGAAAGATGTTTATGAAGAGCATAATTCAAATTGCTTTCTCTCTTAACTTTGATACCAAAAAAAAATCTTAATTTCTTAAAATGTATCTCAATATAAATATCTTTTTTAAAAAAAGACATTTCTCTCTCTTTCTTGCTCCGTCTCCATCCATCTCCCCCCCCTCCTCTTTCTCTCCCTCTCTCATCCATTCTGTCTCCCCCACTCTTCCTTCCTCCCTCACTCCCAGGTTCGAATGGCACTGAAAAAGGCTGAAAAAGAATTTGAACTCAGGAGCAGCTGGTCTGTCCCAGATGCACTTCAGAAATGGCTTCAGTTAACACACGAAGTAGAAGTGCAGTACTACAATATTAAAAGACAAAATGCTGAAATGCAGTTAGCTATTGCTAAGGATGAGGTACTCTATTTCAAAACTTAATACATTTCTAAAGAGATTAACCAATTAAGAGAGAAAAATATGAATAAAATCTGTATTTGTTGTACCTTCTTTTTGTGAATTGAAACTTACTTATCTTAATGGACTCTTATAATCATAGACCGTAGAGTAAAATTACTGTATGTAGAGAAGTATATACTTTTCAGAATGACCTTAGTGTCATTTAAAAACCATCCCTATTATCGTTATCACAAATGTTTTATACAGAGCTTTTCTCCTCCAGGTTGCTTCTTCATATCTGATTCAGGTTAGTAGTTACTAGAAATTAATATTTGACTCTTAATTAAATTGTGTGAAATAAGATTAAGTTTTAATCTGATTTCTAGCAAAAAAAAAAAAAAAAACTCCGTTCACTCACTAACACCTCATTGCAGTAGGATATAATTAATGTTATTTTGTTAGTTTTAATAGAAGATTCGGGTCTTTTCTGAACCATCAAAATAAGTGAAAAATTTTCCAGAACAAAGTTTTGAATTCTATTGATTGGCTTAGGAAAGCATGCTTTCTCCTTCATCTGTTTCCTTTTCTGGAAATTAGGGCCTTATTTTGGCTATATAATTCTCCACTGGTTTCATCATTATTAATATATTCAAAACAAAATAAGCTTGTATGTGTGTTATTTTTTTTCCAGACCTACCTTATTTTCTCTCTCCTTGGGTTTCTAGGCAGAGAAGATTAAAAAGAAAAGAAGTACAGTCTTTGGGACTCTGCATGTTGCACACAGCTCCTCCCTAGATGAGGTAGACCACAAAATTCTGGAAGCAAAGTAAGAATGTTGTTTTAGTTACCTGTTTATTTGTATTATGCTGAAATTTGTAATTTATGGACAATTTATCATTTAATCATGTACAATTACATAATTTATACTAATTCTGAGAATGGATAATTCCTTCTTGAAATTAGTTTAGTGCCATGGTCTGTTCACGTAGTTGCCCTTTTGTAGTGCCACATTAAAGACTCGTTGATACCATAAGTAATTTTTGCCTTGGCTTTTACAGGAAAGCACTCTCTGAGTTGACAACTTGTTTACGAGAACGACTTTTTCGCTGGCAACAGATTGAGAAGATCTGTGGCTTTCAGATAGCCCATAACTCGGGCCTCCCCAGCTTGACCTCTTCCCTGTATTCTGATCACAGCTGGGTGGTGATGCCCAGAGTCTCCATTCCACCCTATCCAATTGCTGGGGGAGTTGATGATTTAGATGAAGATACGCCCCCGATAGTGTCACAGTTTCCTGGTAAGTGCTGAATTCAAAAAAGAGAGTTTGGTGCAGTTTTAAAATTTTTTTTTATGTTTGTTCATTTTTGAGAGGCGGAGAGAGAGGGAGACACAGAATCCAAAGCAGGCTCCAGGCTCCCAGCTGTCAGCACAGAGCCTGACGCGGGGCTCAAACCCATGAACTGTGAGATCATGACCTGAGCCAAAGTGAGATGCTTAACCATTTGAGCCGCCCAGGCGCCCTGAGTTGGTGCAGTTTTTAAAGTAACTTCCTACTATGCCTTTTATGACTCATTGACTTTTTTTTTTTTCAACGTTTATTTATTTTTGGGACAGAGAGAGACAGAACATGAACGGGGGAGGGGCAGAGAGAGAGGGAGACACAGAATCGGAAACAGGCTCCAGGCTCTGAGCCATCAGCCCAGAGCCCGACGCGGGGCTCGAACTCACGGACCGCGAGATCGTGACCTGGCTGAAGTCGGACGCTTAACCGACTGCGCCACCCAGGCGCCCCGATGACTCATTGACTTTGAAATCTATGATAAAAATTTTGTTCGTTCTTCATTTTCTCTTTTTTCTACTTGTGATTAATAATTTGTCTTTATTATGTGAGAATAATACATCAGATGCATGTCTGTGTATATCTATACACACATATGTATAAAGTAATACATCATACATGCTAAATAATGTACAGGTGAAGTACTCAGCTTTGAGGGTAAATATCCTTTCAAATCGCAGCTTAATCTATAGTAAAAATTAGGGGAAGATCTTGGAAACTTGAGTTCTGGTCCTAGCTCTGCCACTGACTAACCAACTGTGTGACTTTGAGCCTGTCTGTGATTTATCTTAAATTGAGTTGCCCTTCCCAGTAGGTATGTTTTTGTTGTTGTTGGTTTGCTTTTCTCATTCTGTCCTTTCATTGAGAAGAGTATTATCTTGCTGTATTTTAACTCCTGAAGCACTGAATCCCTTTACTTTTAAATAAAACTTAAACTGTGCTTATGTTAAGGAAAACATTTTTTTTGTTGCTAGGAAGTGGAACGCCTCCAAAGGAGGTTTTAAAAAAATTTTTTTTTTTTTTATAATTCTTTTTTTAATGTTTGTTTATTTTGGAGAGAGGGGAATGTGCACACATGCACAAGAGAGCAGGGGAGGGGCAGAGAGAGAAGGAGACAGAGGATACAAAGCAGGAGCCTGATGAGGGGCTCGAACCCAGGAACCGTGATATCATGACTGGAGCTGACGTCAGATGCTTAACTGATTGAGCCAAAGGTGGTTTTAACGTGGACAGTTTTCATTATATTGCTTTGTTATGCTGCATTCTTTGAAAATTTTTACATTGTAAGGAATGCATTTTGGTAGGAAAGTGAAATTTAAGTATTTTAGATTTTGTTAATTATTTTTAGAATTTATTAATACATATTTGGACTTCTTGCAAAGTTCTGGAGAGCTTGAATTTAAAATGGGTGTATTCTTATATTAGAAATCATTTGAAAAACTCTTCATCCTTGTTATTGCCTGCCCGATTCATTCTCCCAATCTTTGACTTTTTGAAACAGTGTAGGTAGAACAAGATTCCAAAGAATGGAAAACAGAATTTAACTATTGATTGGTTGAAAACTTACATAGAAATTTTAGTCTCAAGACAAATCGTATGTAAACATTTTCCAGTTTGAATTTTTTCTATCCAGTTGTTACAGTTTTCCTGATGTTATGATTTACAGAGAGTTCTAATTTTTAAACTTTTATGAAATAAAGCCCTAAATTTGCAGATAGATAGTGAACGACTATGCGCTTGGGTTCATTTCTGTGGCTTTAATTCTCAGGCTTAATGGCAGACAGATAACAGGAGTCAGCTGGGGAGCCACCAGACTCTTAGGAGGGAAGAGAGGACAGATTATAAATGCAGTGAATGCTGGAATGTGCTCATTTCACTGGCCCCATGCTGCAGGGTGGTTACAGTTGCAAAGTTATACCTAGATCTGGGCCAGCTCTGCTGTTGGAATATTGTCAGCTTGTGTTTATTTGAACTATATGTCCTCAAACTTGCCAAATGCAACACTGATTCATAAGTATTTGATTTTGTTTAAAAATTGTAGCTTTTTAAAGTCACAGTTCCTCCTCAGAATCCGTAATTCTTCAGTATCAAAAGTATGCATGAAGATATGTTACCTAAATTAACTAATTTATTTTCTTGACTTTTTTGTTTTGAAGTTCTTTTTGATGGGGCAAAATATAGCTCTGTGTGGCTAATTACCTTAAGTTTTCAGTGATTGTAAAATACAGAGAAATTTGAAATTGAAAAAAATATAAAAGTTGATTTTAAATTTAGTATGATGTTTTAGAAATTCTGTGATCAAATTCATTATTTGTGAACAAGAACTCCTGCCAAAGATTGCACTTTGAGAGCTCTACTTCCACCCAGTGGCACAACAGTGATACTGCACTCTGCTTAGTTAGGAAAGCACAATTTCTTCTGCTATGGTAGGATGAAGTCTAGGGCAGGATGAAGGCCGTTTTATTATATGGCCTCTGAAAAGTTTTACATTTGTACCATGGGTATGTGTAAATTGTCTAAATGAAATAACGGTAAGGAAACATGCCTGTGGTGTGTTGAAAGCAAAGTAAAAGATTGTAGAACTGTACACAGAATAATACCGTCTGTGTTTAATTTTGCATAAATAAAAAAGAGAGAGGCGCCTTGGGTGGCTCAGTCAGTTAAGCACCCGACTCTTGGTTTCAGCTCAGGTCATGGTTTCGTGGGTTATGAGATCAAGCCCCGTGTCAGGCTCTGAGCTGACAACACGGAACCTACTTGGGATTCTCTGTCTCCCTCTCTGTCTCTATTCCTCCGCTGCTCATACTCTCTCTCTCTCTCTCAAAATAAATAAATAAACATTAAATAAAGGAGAGAAAATATTGTCAAAGCTTTAGCTCCTTGTGGGTAGGAGAAGAGATGATAGATTTCTCCTATTTTATAGTATCTGCTAAATATTCACTGTGGGAATGTGGTTGCAATTTATTTAAAAGTTCTTAATTATTAAGTCCTTCAGATGTACTTATAAGTACTGAAAATAAAATGTTTACTTGCTACAAAGATAAACAGATTTTAACATTTTGCCTTAATTCATCTCTTTGCCCAAAATAAACTATTATACATACAGCTAAAGCACATGGCCTCACCTTCCTACTCTTCTCAAGTTGTAAGAAGAGCCTATTCTACTTTTATTATATGCAGATGTATCTATAAACAACAGACAAAATTGTTTAAAACTTTACTCACGGGGGTCACCTAGTGGCTCAGTCGGTAGAGTGGCTGAGTCTTGATTTCAGCTCAGGTCGTGATACCAGGGTCGTGGGATTGAGCCCCGCATAGGGCTCTGCTGAATGTGGATCCTGCTTAAGATTCTTTCTCTCTCTGCCTGCCCTTCTCCCTGTCTCAGGCTCTCTTTCTCAAATTAAATATATATATATGTGTGTGTGTGTGTGTGTGTGTGTGTGTATATATATACACACACACACACACACACACACACACATATATATATACATACATACATATATATTTATACATAAATGTTCATCAAACTGTAGGTAATGTTTTGCAGCTCCTTTTGCTCACAAGTATATATTTAGAAATTTTCTGTATACTGCATTAAATATAAATATACTACATTAAATTCACTATAACTGTTTAATGATTTAACCACAGTGTATCTGTTTATTCATGATAATAAACCACAGTTTATCCATTTTTCTCCTGAGATAGGTAGGCTCTTTGCACTTTTTTGCCTTTGCAGACAGTACTGCAGTGAGCATCCTTACCTTACCTTACCTTTATCTCCTTTATGCATGAGTTTGAGAGTCTCTGGGTGGATACCTGGAAAATGGATCGCGTTCAGTCATTGGGAGGGCAGCTGTTACTAGGCATTGTGAGGTCGCTCTCAAAATGGCTCTGTTCCTTTGTATACCCACCGTTTATGAGAGCTTTTCTGCCTCTATCCTCACCAGTACTTGGGATAATCTGATTTCTTTTGTGACTTGCCTGAGTATTATATGATACCAAAGTGTTACTACAATTTTTATTTCCTTGGTGACTTTTGAGGTTGAGTACCATTTCAATTATTAGATTTCTTCCTATCTGAGTTGCTTATTCCTACTATGGAATCTCTCCCAAGATTCCTTACTGATCTGGAGGAGTGTTTTTGTTTTTTTTTTTTTTTAATATTTTCTCTT